TCTACAGTTACAGACTGTAGTCCATCTGTTTCTCTGCATACTTTGTTAGCCCCCTTTTACCCTGTTCTTCAGTGGTCAGGACCCCCATGGACCCTCACAGAGCAGGTACTATTTGGGTGGTGGATCATTCTCAGCACTGCAGTAACACTGACGTGGTGGTGGTGTGTTAGTGTGTGTTGTGCTGGTCTGAGTGGATCAGACACAGCAGTGCTGCTGGAGTTTTTAAACACCTCAGTGTCACTGCTGGACTGAGAATAGTCCACCAACCAAAAACATCCAGCCAACAGCGTCCTGTGGGCAGCGTCCTGTGACCACTGATGAAGGACTAGAGGATGACCAACACAAACTGTGCAGCAGCAGATGAGCTATCGTCTCTGACTTTACATCTACAAGGAGGACTGACAAGGTAGGAGTGTCTGATAGAGTGGACAGCGAGTGGACACAGTGTTTAAAAACTCCAGCAGCACTGCTGTGTCTGATCGACTCGTACCAGCACAACACACAGACGGACTACAGTCTGCAATGCCTGATTGGTGTAAATAAACTTGAAAAAACTGCTCTGTTACTCTCACGTTTTCTACTTTTTGAGCCAAAAAAACTCCAACTTTGCATGTGTATCGCAGTCAAAGCAACAGTAATAACCTCTGCTTAATACCTACTACTGTATTACTGGGTTGTCAGTTTGAATATAACCAATCAGGATGCTGCAATACGTTCCACAATCCAGGTGCCAAAATTAAAGGCACTGCTTCACTATTATTTTACTGCTCGTCCACCTTTATTAGCAGCAGCTTGTGCTGCAGGAATGATACGAGTGTCTGTCAGAGTCAGACGTTAAAACAGTCAGATCATGCATGCGGCACAGAGCCGATATGCTGTTAGAAGAATCAGAAAAGCATGCTCTGATGTTGAATCCCAATGTTTGGTGCCGACCATCACAAAAACACAAACCAGGGGTCACTAGAAGCAAACAGAGACCCACAAGTTTTGCAGGACCACGGTTCATTTGTTTGGTGCCCACTTGAGTACGGGCAGAGTGTTTGAAATTAGGGCTGCAACAAACGATTATTTTCATCGTCGATTAATCGGTTGATTATTTTCTCGATTAATCGATTATTTATTCGGTCTATAAAATGTCCCAAAGCCCAAGACGACGTCCTCAAATGTCTTTTTTTGTACACACCACAAATATATTCAGTTTGGTGTCACAGAGGAGTAAAGAAACCACAAAATATTCAAATTTAGAATCAGAGAAAATTTTACTATTATTTCTTTAAAAAAAAAAAAATCACTCAAGCCGATAAATCGATTACTGAAATAGTTGCAGATTAATGTAACAGTCGACAACTAATCAAATAATTGATTAATTGCTGCAGCTTTGTTTGAAATAAAGAAAAAGTTCAACAGGTCTGAACAAAACAAGGCAGGTGTGAAAGCATCATTGGTCGCTGCTCCTACTGAAACACCAGCCGGGTGACTGAAGCTCCTGCCCATCCGTGCTCCAATAATGACCCCTCTTTAACACACTGAGATCTTTTCCACACTATTCAAAACCTCCTTTAATTTGTCATCTGTGCATCAGGTGACAAATGTAGAACATTCTTTAGACATAAACTAGACACATAATTCATTCAGCTGAATGCCAGCAACCAGCAGCGTGAACACCAGCCACAGTCTGGATCTGCTGCACAACCCGGAGCCGTACTGCTGAGAAAAGAGGATTAGTGTGGTTAGTGTGCACGCTTCAGGCTGAGTAGAGCCCAAAACTCCAAAGCCTGCTCTGGACAAATCCCAAAAGAGGTCCTGGAGGGCCAAGGCCAGCACATTTTGGCATTTCCCAGCTTGGACACACCTTTAATTACTAGGTTAAGCAGGTTTGTGAGGGAAAGGAAAATCCCCAAACTGTGCTGGACCCCGTGCCAGCATCCAAACTGCACACCTCAGGAATAAACAGACCAAATTAGTGTAGCTGTAATGTACATTCCCTAATAATTTCCACTCAAGCACAATAAATACTGGACCAAATTTGGATTACTGGTGCCTTTAGAAAAACTAAATAGTAATAATTATAATAACAATAATAATAAACCTTATTTATACAGCACACTTCCATGACAGCATCAACTCGAGGTGCTTTATGGAAAATAAACTAAACTACATCGATTCAGAAAAACACGTCTGAACAGGAAGGTCTTAAGATTCTTCTTAAAAAGAGGTGAAGATCTAGGATTTCTCAGAGACTCAAAAACCTCATTCCACAATTGTGGACCCAATGCACTAAAAGCACAGTCAGCCATGAAGCAGGACTGTGAACGTGGGACTACCAGCAGATTTCAGGATCCAGACCAGTGAAACTATAATATGAATCTGAGGAAGCTGTTGAGATGAAAGATCCTGCAAATATACTGGAGCTTCAGCATGTAAACATTCCCAAATCAAGAGTAGCATATATCTATATATACGCATGGCTGCTGTCGGAACAAAACCTCGTATCTCCATTTTTGTCGTTTTCCAGTTTTCGGCATAATTTGAAAATGCCTGTTGTTCTTTACACTGTGTGTGAACTTCATGATGAATGGACCAAAAGAAATGATCCAGAATGACTTGGAAAAAAGTCTGGTTCCATTGACTTACATTAAAAGTAGAGTATGTTTTTTCCTTCTCCTGTAAAGTTACCATTTTGGATATATATATATATATATATATATATATATATATATATATATATATATATATATATATATATATACACACACACACACACACACACATATATATACATATAGATATATATATATACACACACTATATATATATACATATATATATATATATATATATATATATATATATATATATATAGATAGATAGATAGATAGATAGACAGACAGATACATATAAACACACACACAATAAGCTTTTTTGAACATATCGAGGATACGGTCAGTACTTGTAGAACACTGACCAACTTCATTTTTTTCTACTTCATTTCCTTTCAAAGACAGTAAAATTAGGCCTATTTAACTACATTGAGTTACAAATATTGAATAAAAATCATTGTATTCACAGTTTTGATAGTATTTTGTAATGTAGCACTGCTGGATATTTTTTTTTGTTCCAATTGATCACATATCTAAAACAATGAATATTGTGACATATCATGCACTGTAAAAATTTCTTGAAGTACTGTGATATTGTATTTTTGCCATATCACCCACCTCTACTACACTGTTAGAAATAAAGGTTCTGTTCAGGTACATTTTGAGTCCATCAAGGTACAAACAGTGTAAATGTTGCCTCAAAGCTCCAACAGTGGTTTTAAGGTCTGATTGTGAACCTTAAATAAGTTTCTCCAGGTGAAAAGTTCGTATTTGTACCTTTTCATAACCGAATGTTTTAAAACAGAACAGTAAAATAAAAGCCTGGAGACGAGACGGGGTGTGTGGAGTCAGTACAGCTTAGAACATATCATTTCAGTGGATTATGGTGCAGTTATGTTCCCTGACTAAAGGTACTGAGACCCAGTGACAAGAGGGGAACTGCTCCAGTGACAGTTCACTACCTTTATTACTGAGAGTGCACTAGTGCATTCTGTCTGGGTGAAAACATTGTGACACGTATGGTGTAAATGTGTTGTGGTGTAAACTGTGACATGATGTTTGCCATATGTCCCTCTAACACAGCTACATCTCTGTGAGATGAAAGCGTCCTCATCATTAGCCCTGTCCAAACAAACCTGACAATTCGGAAAATTGACAGCTGCAAAAACAGCAGCCGCAGTCAGGTTAAGTACAGAGTGCATTCCTTTATTTCAGCACCTCCGCTTGTTTCTACGTCAACAGTACCTGTGGCGGCAGGCTGTCCCAGCAAATCTGACAGCTGCAGCAACCATTATTGATAAGCAACCATCAGTTTAAAGGGGAACTCCACCAATTTTTCAAAAATTCTACGATTAAATGCTTGAGATCAACAGAGTCGTTCAGAGTGGTTTGGTGTGAAACGCTCTGTTCTAGAGAAACTTACAGAGTCAGAATTGTTCACAGTGGTGGTGATAGGAACCAGACGTCCACCTCTAAAAGCTCCCTCACAGAAAGTCACTACATGAAATGGTTATGAATTCACTGCACTGATGACTGAGACACTGTTTTACAATAGTTTTGTGATAAAGTTTTGGCTTAAAATGTATTTTAATACATTTATGGTGGAGGGATACATATAAAGTGTTGTAAGGCAAAATAGTCCCAAAAGAAAACTTATTTTTTTACATTTTTATGGCTCTATTTGTGTTGTAGTGGCAACCCTCTGGTTCCTATCACCACCACTGTAAAGAAATCTGAGCCATTTGACACCAAACCACTCTGAATCTCTCTGTTTACATCTCACACACAGAATTAGGCAGAAATTTTGAAAAACACGTGGTATTCCCCTTTAAGTGAAGAGTTCATGCATTCCTTTATTTCAGTGCTTCTGCTTATTTCTAAATCGACAGTACCTGTGGTGGCAGGTCACACATTTGTGGTTCAGGCTGTCCAACTGATTCTGATAGCTGTAAAGTCCATTATTGATAAGCAGCTGGGTCATCAGTAAAGCCCACAAGAGCAAGAGCCACCAGTTACATGTAAATCTGACCACAAATGTCACCAAATCAAAACAAAAGCAAGAAGAAGGGAAAAAAGAGTAAGTTGGGTTTATTTTAGCCCCACAGGAAGATGCACACAGTGATTGTGCAGTGAATCTGGCCTGATGGTGTAATAATAGCTGGTTTGAGCGCTGTGGAAAGCTGTGGTCTGATCTACTGTACACACTTAACCTCACATTCAACCCGGCTGGCTGCCTGGAAAACACGTTCTAAGAAAACAACAACTGTGTTGGCGCCGTCATGAGGTTAAACAGCCATAAACAGCCTGTTGCTTTCAGCCCACCTTAAAAAGCTCGTTCGGCTCACTGTAGCACTCGTTTGTGTGCCTGTTTGGGCGCTGTGGCGGTAATCAGGTACTCACATGTCCAAACGTGGGCTAAAGCTGCTGCGGCTCGGCTCTGTTTTCTCAGACTCGCTCCAGCTACGCACTTTGGCCGAAAACACAGTTCAAACGCAGTCAAACGCGACACACGACGTCCGTGTTCAATCCTCTGTCCAGCAGCGGGCAATTTAAGCATGTCCTCGCCCTCCTGAGTGAACTGTGTCCCTGCTCTCTTGCAGTCTTGGTGCGGCTCTGAGCCACTCAGCGCTGCTCTGCTTTTCTTTTGTGCTACTTTCTGCTGCTCACGCCGTCTAACGGAGGAGCGTGTTTAACCGCGCTTTGGCGCCATCTGGTGGTGATTGTTGGACAGACTGACTGACTGACCGATTGATAGATAGATAGATAGATAGATAGATAGACAGATAGACAGATAGACAGACAGATAGATAGATAGATAGATAGATAGATAGATAGATAGATAGATGAATGTATAGATAGATAGATAGACAGACAGACAGACAGACAGACAGACAGATAGATACATAGATAGATAGATAGATAGATAGATAGATAGATAAATGGATGTGTAGATGAATGTATAAATAGATAGATAGATAGATAGATAGATAGATAGATGAATGGATGTGTAGATGAATGTATAAATAGATAGATAGATAGATAGATAGATAGATAGATAGATAGACAGACAGACAGACAGACAGATAGATAGTTAGATAGATAGATAGATAGATATATAGATGAATGGATGTGTAGATGAATGTATAAATAGATAGATAGATAGATAGATAGATAGATAGACAGACAGACAGACAGACAGACAGACAGATAGATAGTTAGATAGATAGACAGATAGATAGATAGATAGATAGATAGATAGATAGATAGATGTATAAATGGATGGGTAGATGAATGTGTAAATAGTCAAAAACTTGAAGGGTTTTAGCACTATTATCTTGCATTCATTCATTCATTCATTCATTCATTCATTCATTCACTCATTCATTCATCAATTCATTCGTCTATTATTCAGCAAAATAACCAGTGGCCTATTCCCCTCTTTCCTTTATTCACCACTAGATGGCACAAACGTCCTTTAGCGTTGTACTACATATCAGTGACACTGAATCCCCATAAACATGATCAATCATTAACATTATCAAAGGTCATTTTAACGCTGGGTCTTTTTATCGGTCCTCGCATTAAAGTCACATGGTACATTCAGCTTAAAGGGGAATTCAACCAATTTTTCGAAATTTCTGAATAATTCAGTCAGATACAAACAAAGTCATTCAGGGTGGTTTGGTGTGAAACGGTTCACTGTAGAGAAATTTACAGACTTAGATGTCTTTACAGTGGTGGTGATAGGAATCAGGTCACCATGACTACAACACAAATATATCATAACGATTTCATGCAATAACTTTCTGTGAGGGAGCTTTTAGAGGTGGATGTCTGGTTCCTATCACCACCACTGTGAACAATTCTGACTCTGTAAGTTTCTCTAGAACAGAGCGTTTCACACCAAACCACTCTGAACGACTCTGTTTACATCTCTACCATTGAGTTATATAGTATGTAAGGCCTGTTATTTTGGCCAAGAATACCAGTATATCTGGCTTTTAATGGCTGAACACTGAACACAGCACAACTGACCGCCAGTTAATGGCGGTTGTGTTGTCTTATAGACCACTGTAGTCATGTTGTCATTTTGTAGTCGGCGCCAGGCTCTTGTGCCCATATTAGGAACTCCGGGTCTGAGCTCCATTTCTCTATGGCCAGAATGAATAGGGCTTTCGAAAAATCGCCTCTATCGCCCCCTGTGTTAAATAATAATGTTCAGAACCCGACACGTTCTGTCCTGTGAAGATTCTTCTCTCGATTAAGACCGGATCCTCCGAATTACGAGGGCTTTAAAGAGTTGAAATATGAATATTTCTATATGCGAGCTAAAGCTACTGCGTGCTGAGTTCACATCATTAGACTGGCAGCCTCCTTAAGCAGCCTGATTTCGGCTCTCAGAATATTCTAATTATTAGTTTAATGCTGGTAAAAAAATTTTCTGAGGACATTTTCTCAGGAAATTCGTCAGCTTTTTGTTTGACTTTTCCCGTTCCACCTTAAATGCAGTCATGTTCTGAAATGCTGCGCTATTTAAGGTGGAACGGGAAAAGTCGAATAAGCAGCCGGCGAAAAAGAAGCTGAGTTCAGCTTCATGAAGGGTTGAAAGGCCTGATATGGGGAGGTTTCCCAATTTCTGCTGAACAGCTGAGTAACATTAACATATTTTTGCTGTTTCACAGAACTGACGGGTCAGTATTTTGTCTCGTTTGCTAATGTTTGTGATAGCTAGTCACAGCTGCTGCACCATTTAAGGTGGAACGGGAACATTCAAACAAGAAGCTGCGAAAAAAGAAGCTAAATTCAGCCTCGTAGTTTTAATCCTGGTAGTACTTTTGATAAGGAGCTTTAGCCTATCAAAATATCCCACTCAGAGGTTTTATTTATGGGTATACCTGTGAATATGCGCTATGGTAGAAGATTTTGTTAAGGTAGCACAGCACCGCCACAGCCTGCTTTAGCTCACATGTAGCAATATTAGTATTATAGCTCTTTAATGACCTCGTAATTCGGAGGATTCAGTGGTATTCTGGAGAAAAACGTACACAGAACAAAACGTATCGGGATCTGAACATTATTATTTAACACAGGGGGCAATAGAGGCGATTTTGGGGCCAGAGTTGCTAATATGGGCGTAACGAAGACTACAGAATGAAGCACGACTACAGTGGTCTATACTCAACACACTGGTGTTTGCTTGCTTTTGATTAGTCTATCTCACAGGCTCTGTGTTATTAGAGATTAGGTTTCCCCACTTAAAGATGATTTAAAAACGTAAAACTTTAGACAACGACTTAAGACACCGATAATCTGTGCTGTAATTAAAATTGCGCTCGTTCAAACAGCAATTTCGATATAAAAACGATTAATCTTTCACACTGTACGCTCCTCTCTGTGGGCTATTTCCTCCTCCCGTATTCCTTCAACGTCCAAATTCTGTGCTGCGATTGGCCAGTCAGTCACGGGATTGTCTAAATATCAACTATTAGCCAATCACGACGCAGGTAGGCGGGATTTGTCGGAATACAGGTGGAGAAAATATCTTCTAATGTAGCACCATCTTGTGGATACTACTGGGAAGTTCTCTGGAACAGTGTGCTGGAAAAATCTCCCATTACGTTGCTTAGCAACCAAAGCTTACTGTTAACGACCTAGCTAGCTAATGCTGTATGGCGGAGTTTTGCTTGGCTTGGCTCATTAGTTGCAATGATTTATTTGAACATTAGTGTATTTTACTGTACTGTATTTTGTCACGCTTTAGATAAAATGCGATTAAAATATGTAACGCTTTCCTTGAGGTACGTTATCACCGCTAGACTCCTGCAAATGGGTGTCGTTACGCTGACAAATGATGTTGTTTTTCGTTTTTGTGTTTGTAGCGCAGTTTCAATGATGTTGTCTTCTGTTTTATGAACATTTAGAGCATTTTCCGTATGTTTGCATATATGTTTGTATTCTAGTAAGTTAAAGCAGTACATTTGTTAGCTTGCTATGCTAGTCCTAGCTTTTTTACGAAGCTGAGGTCACCGTCTTTTTCGCCAGCTTCCAAATGCTGTACCATTTAAGGTGGAACGGGAAAATTGGAACAAAACGCTGGCGAATAGGAAGCCAAACTTCATTCAAATGTGTATTTATTGCCTTCCATTTAATTAGCTAAACCGTAAGTTAACGTTACACTAAAGTACGGAGCTCCGTGAGGGGTGACTAACGAGAAAAAAAATCATGAGGAGTAAAATCTGTCCCCGCAGTTTACATAGATATACATACCGAGATGCCGCGTTGGGTCCAGCCAGGCACGTCAACGGCACTGCCATTTTGGGGCGGTCAGCATCGCTGCTGGACTGCATTCAGTACCGTTACAGAGCGGCAGTTTAAGAAAGATACTGTCCAGAGTTACACTATTTCAGGAATATTACACTCAGAAAGAGGGATAAGATTATATAACGGAGGGAACGCAGAGATCCACACTCATGTTTGTGTGATGTTTATGTGGTTGGTGGTTAAAAAAAAAGTTAATGACATTGCGTTCCCTTGAAAATAAAATGCGTTCCCTCGCAAATGTTTTGCGTTCCCTTGCAAATATTTTGCGTTCTCTCGTAAATGTTTTGCGTTCCCTTGCAAATATTTTGCATTCTCTCGTAAATGTTTTGCGTTCCCTTGCAAATAAAATGCGTTCCCTCGCAAATGTTTTGCGTTCCCTTGCAAATAAAATGCGTTCCCTTGCAAATGTTTTGCGTTCCCTTGCAAATAAAATGCGTTCTCTCGCAAATGTTTTGCGTTCCCTTGCAAATAAAATGCGTTCCCTCGCAAATGTTTTGCGTTCCCTTGCAAATAAAATGCTTTCCCTCGCAAATGTTTTGCGTTCCCTTGCAAATAAAATGCGTTCCCTCGCAAATGTTTTGCGTTCCCTTGCAAATAAAATGCGTTCCCTCGCAAATGTTTTGCGTTCCCTTGCAAATAAAATGCATTCCTTCGCAAATGTTTTGCGTTACGATGCAATGGTTTGCATTCACTTGCAAAAGCTGTGCTTTGCTTAAGCTTAGACACGGAACAGCTCATTGAATTTTATGTTGATCTTGGATTGAACTATAAAGACGTGTCGCTTCTCAAAATCAAACATGATTCTGTTATTATTGAGCACAAACTGAGTCTGAGGTTGAGGGTCCTCCTACAGTAAAAGCTACATTTACAGACACTGCAGAGAACAATAGCTGATTAAACTCAGCACAGGCTGGCCAAACTGGGGAAACAGCTTTTAACGTTAGTTATGCTCTAATGTAGGCAGTGTCGTGGGGCACCTCTGGTCCTACACTTGCTTGCTGTCTGACGAGCATATATTTTGTGAGGGAACGCAAAACATTTGCCACCATGGCCCCTTTGGGGCTCCGTAGGGCTCCGTACTAAAGTGCACTTCAGGAAGAAAAATAGGAAACTGAAATCTTCCTTTTACGGAAGCCATTCAGGGGGATTGGTTTTAGTGCTGGTGTGAGATCTGTTTCGAAGGTAGCATAATTTGACCAGTTATTTTATTCATCCTATTCCTTCTGCCCTGTACATTTCTTGTTATTAGCTACATTAATGAAACTACTTTTCTATATATCTTCCAGCTTTGTTCTCTTCTGCAGCAGAACCATAATATCCTCAGGAACAGAGAAATTACAGCAGGTGAGGAATCACAAAGAAGGTGTGGTTAATGTTACTTGTTACCCCTGTATATGTATGATATAAAATCATTTATTTACTTGTTCTATTTTTTTATCACTAAATGTTAAAGGGGAACTCCACTAATTTTTCAAAGTTTCTGCATAATTATAAGGTTAAGACATGAACAGAGTCATTCAGAGTGTTTGGTGTGAAATGCTCTGTTCGAGTTCTACCTCTAAAAGTTCCCTCACAGACAGTTATGGCATGAAATGGTTATGAATATGCTGCCTGATGCTGAAACATTGTTTTATGATAGTTTGGAATAAAGTTAATCCATTTTAATCATAACAGCATCTGGATACATGCAGGGCAATAGTCCCCCACCCACCCGCCCAAAAAAAATACAAAAACAAAAACATACTTTTTCAGATTTTCCACTACATTAATAAACATTTTTTCATAAACATTGCAAAAAAAAAAAAAACAAACAAACCCAGAAGACTCGTGTAGGTTCACTGGTGGTTTTGGATAGTAAATAAATGTCTATATTTGTGTTTCTCAGGATCAGACAGCACAAGTTAAGTCTTTAAAATTGCCAAATTTACTACAAGACACAAAGCAGGTGTCAGTAGGAGACAGGCATGTGGTTTAACTTTGGTATACTGAGAGACTCTATATTTTCACCATAGAGAATGCCGTGATACAGCTTAGAATGTGGACCGTTGGGATTTGTAGTTCAGTGACATTAAGTCAGAAGCAGGGAAGAACAGAGTTCCTTAAACATCTAATGCAGTTTTCAGCTTATTTAAATAAATCTTTAATGTCCTGGTTAGTTTTGTTGTCTTCATAGGTACAGAAAAGGTGTAAGGTGAGAGTGTATAATCTTAACTCATTGTATGAAGTCTGTTACAGCCCGGTCTAGGGTCAGGCTGTAACAGAGAGTGAGAGTGGGCTCTCTCCCCAGACCTGCTGCCAGACTAGACACCGGACACCATTTAAACCAGAAAATGACAAGTTTATTTTCTTCAAAGCTCAGACAAGTTGAGGTGATGGCTTCAGGGACGAGCACTCGCCAAAATAACAAACAAAACAACTAATGATTTCACTCTTAACTGAACTGAAATCAAAAGAAACAAAAGACATGTAGGCTACCCTAACTCCCTACCTTAACCAGGAGAAAAGGTAACCAAAACAACATGGCACCCGTCCCCTACTTTCCCCAAGCTCTTAAAGCATAATCAAACAGTCAAGCAAAGCAAAGCAGACGGAGTGCCAGGCTGGTCTGGACAGGTGTTCTTCCAGGTCTGGTCAAAGGGGAAAGAGCCCGGAACGTCTCTCAAGATGGTGGCTCGGCGACCTGTTATACCTTGGTGCGCCCCCATCTGGCCAATCATGTACCTGCACACAAGGGGACACAACAGGGAAAACACAAAATGCCAGCAGAAGGCACATAAAAGGTATGTTACGACCAGGGGTCGTAACACCCCCACCCTTAAGAATAAACATCTTATGTTTATAACAAAACATGGCAGTCATCACCACACTTCCTAGGCCTTTGTCAAACTTAAGAATTTACACAGTCACTAAGGGCTCTCTAAAACTAATACTTAAATTACAGTTTAATTAAATTAATCTGAATTTTAAAAAAATATTTCAATTAAGATAATCAAACTTTGATAATGGAGCAAGAAAATTCAAAGTTCAATTCAAATGTCACAGGCAGACTAAACAAGTACAAAACTAAATATCACTACATGCCCTACATATACCAAATGAAAATGGTTCAGGAGCACAAACAAAACTAGTCTCCCTGAGGGCAAACAAACACACGAACAAGTCTCTAAAGTAAATGAAAACTGTGTCTAACCACTTTCAAAGTGATTACTACAGAAATGGAATAAATTATGGCTGCCAGTGAGTTTTTTACTTATCGATTGTTTTTATAATCTGACTGCAGGCAGGTCACAAACAACTCTACAGAGTTTTAGGGGAGTACGAGGATCCGTTAGAGAAGATCTAGGCCTGTAACGACCCCGAAACTGACTGTTTTGTGCACTGGGAGGCGTGACCTGTTTAGCTGGAACACAACGAAAGTGTAAGTGTTACACAGCATTAATCAGCATGTGTAGCAGTGTGTGTGTGGGGGGGTGTCTGCACGCATGTGTTGGACAGTTAATCTTTGCATGCCATTTTGAAAACATTTGGCTAACTACGATATTCAGCAACTATTCACTGAATAAACTATTAGTTATTCATTTCATACTATGAAATATTCACTACTTACTATTGATTATTCCATATCTACTGTGAACTATTCACCCTTTACTGTAAAATATTTAATATCTACTATGAATTATTCAGTACTGAGTTATTCAGAATCTACAGTGAATTATTTAGTGTTCACTATTAATTATTGAGTGTCTACATTACATTCTTTAATATTTAATATGAATTATTTAATGTTTGTCATTTTTAGTACATGCTAGTAATTTATCAGCATCTACTATGAGTTATTTAGTATTTACTATAATTGATTGAGTAACTACTATGAATTATTCAGAATCTACAGTACATTATTTAGTGTCTACTATTAATTATTGAGTGTCTGTTTCAAATGATTCAATATCTAATGTGAATAATTTAGTATCTACTATTATTTTTAGTACCTACTATTAATTAATGAGTATCTACTATGGATTATTCAGTATCTAAGGTGAATTATTTAGTGTTTCCTATCAATTATTGAGTGTCTTCTTCAAATTATTTATTATCTAATGTGAATTATTTAGTATTTACTATAACGTTTAGTAACTACTATGAATTATTCAAAAACTACAGTAAATTATTTAGTTTTAACTATTAAGTATTGAGTATCTTCTTCAGATTATTTAATATCTAATGTGAATTATTTAGTACCTACTATAAGTTAATGAGTATCTATTATGGATTATTCAGTATCTACTGTGAATCATTTATATTCTACTATTAATGATTCAGTACCTACTATAAATTATTCAGTTCTATGAAATTAAATATCACTTTTATCTTGAGTCACAGATAATTTGCTACAAGTTTTAGCCCTAAACTGAAGTGTGTGAACTGTAATAAAGTGTTCACTGACAGAATAACACATAGATCACCTTTTCCTCTTCCTGCACAGTGAGGTCCCCGATGCTGAATGAGCACCTACAGTGCTGATTGAACACCATAGGTGTGAGACTGCTGGTGTTCCAACACAGGGGGTTTTGCTTTGTGCGACAGCCTGTGCACCACCTCAAGAGCGATTTTGTTACTGCTCACAAATGTCACGTCGCTTTTACCATAAAGAAGTCGCACTCGTGGGCGTTGTGCATTGCAGGTCATCTGCTTTCACTCTCGCCTGCCTTCGTCTTCACCGCCTATGCGGTTTAGACCAGAGCAAACGGGCGAGATAAACACCTGGCTGTGTTCTGCAATTATGGTGTGGGGTTATGGCTGTAAAACCAATGTGTGCCGCCTCACTGTGCAGGATGCCACTGTAGAGAGGTGGAGGCGGTGGCCAAAGGTAGACTTCAGTTTTGACTCTTCACAAAATTAAATGCAGCAGGTGGCTGTATAATTTAACTTATGCATATAGTTCCTACTTAGTAAATATAATTAGATTTATATTTATGATTACTGTTACTGTTATTACTCAGTATGGGTTAATAAATTGTGAAATATCTCTCATAGTTAACCCTTTAAACTCTATTACTCTGTTAGTGGGTCCACACTTCAGTTCCTCACTCTCGTACCTACAGTATTTACACATTAGTAGACACTAAATAATTTATAGTAGATACTGAATAATTCAAAGTAGATACTGAATAATTCTTAGTAAATACAGAATAATTTACAGTAGATACTGAATAATTCAAAGTAGATACTGAATAATTTGTAGAAGATACTGAATATTTCATAGTAGATCCTCAATAATTCAGAGTAAATTCTGAATAATTCATAGTGGTGACTGATTAATTAATAGTAAGTATTATTGTATTGTAAATTATAGTACATAATAAATAATTCACATCACATATTGCATAATTTGAAGCAGACACTCAATAATTAAAAGTAAACACTGAATAATTAACTGTAGATTCTGAATAATTCATTGTAGTTACTGAATAATTCATAGTAGGCACTGAATGGCTTAAAATAAGTACTAATTTATTTTGTAGGTAATAACTATTTTATAGTAGGTACTGGACCATTTAAAGTAAGTACTCAATATTTTATAGTACTGTTTAATTCAGTGTAGCTAGTGATTAATTCATAGTAGTTACCAAAAAATTTATTTGTAGGTACTGAATCATTCATAGTAGATGCTAAATAAGTGGTAATAGATACTGAATAAAATGTAGGGGTTACAGCATAATTCATAATAGACGCTGAATAATTCATAGAAGGTAGTGGATCATTTATAATAACAGAATAGTTCATATCTGCTACTGAATAATTAGCCCTGCGATGGACTGGCAACCTCTCCAGAGTGTTCCCAGCCTTTTTCCCAAGGGGGGATAGGCTCCAGCACCATCCAGAAGGACAAGCAGAGTAGATGATGTGTGTGTGTACTGAATAATTAGAGTTAAGATTCATAACTGATTAAACATTCAGCAGTTTAAGGGTTTAAAATGATCTAATGTCTTCTCTTACATTCTGAGTTATTATTAAGTAGAAGCCCCTATTGTGCTATTTTAGATACTGAAACCCACTCAGGCTGAGTATGAGTGGGAGAGTTTCCAGTTTTGATGTTCTTCTTACTTCAGTCTAAAACTGTCTCTAAATGCTGATGGAAATATGACAGTAATGGAAAGCTACTAGTTTCATGCTCACCCTGACTGCTGCATTTGTCCATCAGCATGGCCAGGTTGGAAAAACAGCAGGGCCTAATCCCTCATTCTGCATCCTGTATGTGGAGAATAATGGTTTTAATGTGGATAATCATTTCACAGTCGTTCAGTTTAACAGCGTTGAGCTCATTTAGCATGAATCACTCTGAATTACTCTATACAGGTTTTTGTAGAACCTGTTGATGTAAGTAGGTTAAGTTATGTTTTGTGAGTAATATTTCCATCTCAGCTCATTCAGTGACTAAATGAAAAGACAAAAATAATCACACAAAGGTGCACAATTTTCTATTTGTGTTTTTCAAATTAATATATGAACAATAATGTTATTATTACTAGTATTATTATAGTCACTGCATTATTCTGAGACAATGTTACTTCCGTTTGTATTCATTTGATATCCACGCTAGGCCATTCTGATGAAGTAGCCTGCTATACAGTCTTAATTTTCAGATTTATTTGTCGTTCATGTTTGTAAACTGTAAAAGAAATTTTGGAGATTTAACAGAAAAAACGTTATTGTCTGGGATGCCTTAAAATTCTGAGTTATTTGAAGTTCTTTGAATTAAACCCAGCAGTTGACCGTATAATTTCCCTTATGTGTATAGTTACTACTCAATAAATGTAACCCTAAAAGGTCTAGGTCTGTAAGCGGGTCCACACTTCAGTTCCTCACTCTCGTTCCTACAGTATTTACACATTAGTACATACTAAATAATTCATAGCAGATACTGAATAATTCCTAGTAGATAATTTGTAGTAAATACTGAGTAATTTACAGTAGATGCTGGATAATTAATAGTAGATACTGAATTATTTAAAGTAGATACTCAATAATTCAAAGTAGATACTTAATAATTCCTAGTAAATACAGAATAATTTATAGTAGATCCTCAATAATTCCTAGAAGATAACCAGTAATTACTATTATTATTATAGCCCACTGTATGATTCTAAGACAATGTCAATTCCATCTGTACTCATTTGATATCCATGCTAGGCCATTCTGATGAAGTAGTCTGCTATACAGTCTTACTTTTCATTTTTCGTCCATGTTTGCACACTCTAAAAGAAATTTTGGAGTTTTAACAGAAAAAAGTCCGGGATGCCTTAAAATTCTGAGTTATTTGAAGTTCAAAATTGTTTGAGGATAAAACACATTTTCCTGTTTCATTAACTTACCATTCGAAATTCAGTTGACTCCAAATTTTAAGGCAGCAGTAACACTAATTTGTTTAAGTTAAAGCAGCATTTTTTACACTGTATGTTTGGATAAAGCGGCCTGTTCTGTAGCCATCGCTTTTAAAGGGGTGGGTGTTTGTAGGCTGAAGGACACACAGCTGCTGTTCGGAGGATGAAGGTCACCCTTAAAGCTCTAAAACACTTTCGACATGTCACGAAGGCTGCTTCTGTTTTGCTTGTTTGCCCTAAAAAGTAAGTATATGTATATTGTTCTGATGCGTTAGAATATTGATTTGATTTAATTTTATGTCTTTGAAATGTTTTAAATGTCCATAAATATTGCAGATTGCACTGTCACTTTGTTTATACATCCATAAAGATTTCATATTGCACAACTGTTAACAGAGGTTATCGTTTACAGTACATAGTCATTTGGTTCATTCACTGGAGGGGACATGCAGCACTGCATCATCACCTGCATAGAATTTATGCAATTTTACTACTTATTTTGTACTGCAAATTATATTTTTATTGTTGTTTTAATATATTTTATTATTTATCTTCTATTTATGCATGTGTAAATAGCGTAAGGCAATACTTTTGCTCTTGTTTCGCTCTTTACTTTTTACTGTACTTTGTACTGCTGCAATAGAAGACTTTCCCGCTGATTTCCCTCCAGATTGATAGTGTTCTGTCTATCTATCTATCTATCTATCTATCTAAATTTAGTTTCATTCAAAATTTTCTTTTAAATGTCATCTTACATGAGATGACGATATCCAAACAAATAAACATAAAAATAAGACTTTTGATAATCTCTAATATAATTGTCAAATTGCATCTTGCTTTAATAAGCTCAGGTTCATTTTATATGTTCTAGGCTTGTATTTCTTCTCCTTTCATTTATTTAATCCATTTTGTGTACTGTGTGTTTTTTCTTGCATATCCAGTTTGTTCCTCATGCTCTTTTGGTTAAATTTACTTTCTGTTCTGCAGCTGTTTGTCCGATCATCGTCCAGTCTCCTGGAGTAGTCAAGGTGCCGCCTGGTGGGACAGCTGTACTGACGTGCGATCTGGTGGATTTAATGGCACACTGCAATGCGATCTCATGGTACAAATTGCACCCAAGAACCAAACACCTGAATGCAACCACAGCCATTAATACTGAGCCAGAGAAGAATGGACCATGCCTAGGGGTCATCCGTAACATAACTGCAGGCGATTCGGGCACGTACTACTGCATTGCTGTGCACACTATTATGTCATACATTGGCAGCGGCTCCAGGGTCATCGTGAAAGGTACCTTCACTCGCAACTGTGGCTTTGACCGAGTATTTTTTATTGTATAGTCAAGTCAGGCCAAGTTATCATAGTCAGAATGTGAAGTACTGCCTTTATTAAGTGTTCAAGGAAACTCCAGCATTTTTCAAACTACTCTCTGTTTGGCGTATATGTAGCGTCCATTTACCACAGACTATAATTTCAATACATGATTCTGTACAGAAGACACACTTGTAATAATAGAAGAAGCAATGAGCAGGTGCTAAAACAACCACGCAGAAGAGATTAGGCAGAAAAAAACCTGGAGTATTCCTTGAAAAATTCACTTAAGTTTTAACCCTCTGTGTGGTGTTCAGGTCTGTGGGACCCATTTTCAATGTTTACCAAAAGAAAAAATGATGTGATTTATTATTAGTTCAACCTCAGATTCTTGTCCTTTGCTCATTTTCTGTGAAGAACATATAAAATAACCCATTTTCAGTGTCTTCACTCTGTTCACCCCCCACACATTTATATTACACATGTGGTGTTGGGTGAACCTGCGGGGAGTAAAAGTGTGGAGGTGCTGTGTCCTTCACTCTGTTCTCCTCCAACATGGCCTGCTGTTAGTGTGTGTGTCTGTGTGTGTATGTGTTTGTATATGTGTGTGTGTGTGTGTGTGTGTGTGTGTGAGGGTGGACAACATGGACAGGCTGCTGACTGGCTACAGCTGCTAAAGGAGAACCCTACGCTGGACACTTGTGATATTTTAAACATCTGGTATTTTTACATAAATTATTGTGGCTGTATTGATTAAATAAACAATAATTTGGTGGGTCCAGCAGACCACTGAGTAACAAACACATCAACACCACACAAAGGTTAAATACGTAGGTCAGTGCACAAGAAACAGGTGCTTATCAGCTTTTTGATTATTAATATGTTTATTTAGTAATAGCAGTTATAATAGAATAAGCATCATATAGGAAATGTATTGAAATGACACTGAAATGTGTTAATTACATCACACAACCTGTCTCGACCCCCAGAGCCCAATCCCCAACCTACAGTCACACTGTACGTCCCAGATGAGAGTAACAGCTCGAACGTCTTGCTCCAGTGTCTGGTGATGGGGGTTGTTCCATCTGAAGTCCATGTTTCTTGGGTCGTAAGTCATACAGTGCTGACCGGGTGGACAGAATCAGGCTGGACAGATGATAGTGATTCGGCTTTAGAGTTCACTCGAGCTCATGTTATTGTTCCTTCAGAGAGACGGATGGATAATGTTGAGTGTGTTGTTGAGCTGGACGGCAGAACGATCTCCAAGTCCCTGAAAAGAGGTAGCTAGATGTCAAAACAAAATAAACCCAGAACAAAATCTACTAAAAATATCTGTGTTTTGATCACGAAACTTGCCTTTTTTGAGTTTATTGAACTTTTTTGAGCTTATTGGACTTCAAATAGTAAGTCAGCAGAACTTAAGACAGATTCATGTCCTGTTAACTTGCTATTAGAGGTTCAGTGAACTCAAATGTTAAGGCAGCCCAGAAACTACCTTTCTAGAGTTAAAAGAACTGTTTTTTACATACAGTTGCAGGTGGATGTTGTCTAAAAATAATGTTCACTTTCTGAAACAGGTTCAGATTTGATCTGTACGTGGTTTGTATATTTGGGCTTCGGTACAGCATTTCTCATCATTCTTGCAACTGTCATTGTTGCTGTTTCTTCACACACGGGTAACGTAAACATACAGCCAGTTAAACCTCACTGCTTTGAAATGACCAAACGTAATATTTACAAGACTGTCTTGTGATCACTTTGACTCACTTTCCTGTCGAATTGTACTTTTTCAGCAAGACGATTTAAACTGACTTTGAGGTTTGTGTTTCATTCTGTAATAATATCAGTTTGACGAAGTTTCTTTCCCTGATTCTTTTATGTGGGACAAATATATATGTGTGAATTTTCATTACAGATCTGGTGGTTCAGAATCTCGCTTCAGACGTCGAAATGGTAAAACATTCTCCTATTCTTGACTTCTCTTTAGCCGTAATGGCTAAAGCCACAACCAAGGGATTTAAGGAGCAAAGACAAAGATATAGCCCTGCCTCAGTGTCTTTCCAAACACTGAAGAAGGAAGGTTGTTAACATTTAGGTTGTATTTATATTTTAAAAATTCTTAATTTGTGTACTGAAAAGATTTAATCTTAGCCAGTCAATGTGAACAACAAATCCCTGACTGGACGTTCAAAATGTTGGATAATGCTTTCTTTACAGTTCTTTAAGTTCTAGGTTCTAGGTATGAACTGGGTAAGCGTGAGGCACAAATTCCAAACTATTATTTAAGTATTTTAGGTAACATGATGGTAAGTTCCACGACAGTTTGACGAATTTGCTGGAAAATGCCAAACAGGTTCTAGATATTAACTGGTTAAGTGTATGTAGTTTTTTGGGTAAAAAAGGGGTGAATACTTAGACTTAGTCTATCTGAATTATGCTATCTTATGTTAATTAATCTTAAGCTGATGAAGCAATTATGTGGGGTAACAAGTTGGTAAATAAACATAATTGCACTACATTTCACTGTAATGTCACACATTCAAGCAGGAAAGGAAACAGTAAGGACCCAGTAAAACTGTAGTAAATGTGGTTGGTGTAGTGTAGTGGGTAAAATCTCTGCCTTCTGGGCTGTAGACTGGGGTTCAAGTCCCCGGCTGGGCAAACACCCTACACTATACCAATAAGAGTCCTTGGGCAAGACTCCTAACACTACCTTCACCTACCTGTGTAAAATGACCAAATTCGCTCTGGATAAGAGAGTCTGCCAAATTCCATAAATATAAGTGTTACTCTTTGCATTGTGTGTAAATTATCGCTTTCTTTCACAGCACAGATATATATATATATATATATATATATATATATATATATATATATATATATATATATATATTGAACTTCTTTTATTACCTTTTTTATGAAGTGCAATCATACAGTACAGTTATATCTTCAAAGACACAACACAGGACACAGGTATATATGTCTTGGAGGCAGTCCATGAATTTTGGCATCCTCTCATTGTCCATAAACAATCCCCTATGGATGAATAATTAAATTCTTCCATGAACATAAAGGAAGTGGACAGATATGTTTCATAGTAAAGCACATGGTGCTTTCATTTAAAACAAAAAGAAAAAACAAATACAGAAGGGATTGTTTCACTTAGATGACATCCGTTAAGAACAAATATGTAATAACTGAGGACCATTTAGTCAAGAATACGTCTGATTTCAATTGTAATCTTGCAGTTCTACTTTTGTGTAGTAAACATCCTTAACTTTTTCCCTCCATTGCGTTACTGTGGGGGGCAGCGGCCTCAGCCAGGAAACTTGTTAGCAATTAGAAGAAGGACTCTCAGTAATGATGTCTGATTGTTATTTCCTACATTTTCTGGTAATATTCCTTATAAAAAAAAGGATGGTTCTAAGGGCAACTCTATATCTAGGCATTTTTTAATTTTGTATGTTTTGCCAATATTCTGATGACTTTGCACAGTCCCAGAATACGTGTGTATGGTCTCCTACCAGGCCATAGCCCCCCCAGCACTGATCAGAGGTGCCACTGAATTTTGATGTGACATGAGGGGTCCTGAAAAATCTCATCTTAACCTTCCATTCAAATTCCTTCCAAATCAGGCTATTAATTGTTTTAAATGCATGATAGTTCCCAGTTTTTTATCAGAAATTCTGGTATTCATCTCCAATTCCCATTTTTCTTTAATGTCTAAACTGTTATCCACTTAAAAATAATTTTAAATAAAAATAAATTGTTTTTTATAAAACAATAGGCTACATTAGCTACAGATAACTGTTAAACCTCATTAAATGTCCCCAGGAAGTAGGTGTTTTAAAACTGCTTATTTGCTTAAGCTAGACACAGATTTTTGTTGGAGAAAGGGGGTTAGAACACACATTATGTTGCAGTGCATGCTGGGGACTGTAGTGCAGCTCAGGGTGAAACGGGCTGATAATAATAGAAAACTAAAACAGTTTCGCAGGCTGAACAGGATTGTGCAGTGGGCCTGACTTGGCCTGCAGGCCTTGAGTTTGACACATGTGATGTAAAACTCTTAAGTCTTTGTATCATCTTTTTACACCATATAGCTGCCTGATATTTATTGGTGTTTCCAATGTACTTTTCTGCTTAAACATATGAAATTACAGTGAAATTAAGTGTATGTTTGTATTTGTCACCTTGTTCCACCAAATAACTATTTAATTATGAGATATTTTATTGTGTCCTTTATTTGCTTAATAGCTAGAACCTCTTCGCCTCTAGAACTGCATTTCAGTGTAATTTAGTCAGCCTGTGTTGGGTATAACACCCACTTTACCCAAATTAGTTACACAGTACTCTGGAGTTTTTACCCATTTACCTAGTTAATACCTAGAACCTGTCGGGCATTTCAGTGTAATTTAATGAAACTGTGTTGGAACTTACCATCACATTATTCAAAATAATTATCTAGTACTTTGGAGTTTGAACCCATTTACCTAGTTAATACCTAGAACCTGTTGAGCATTGTCTACCCAACTGTCTACCCGAAATAATTATCTAGTACTTTGGAGTTTGAACCCATTTACCTAGTTAATACCTAGAACCTGTTGAGCATTGTCTACCCAACTGTCTACCCGAAATAATTGTCTAGTACTTTGGAGTTTGGACCCATTTACCTAGTTAATACCTAGAACCTGTCGGGCATTTCAGTGTAATTTAATGAAACTGTGTTGGAACTTACCATCACATTACCCAAAATAATTATCTAGTACTTTGGAGTTTGTACCCATTTATCTAGATAATACCTAGAACCTGTTGAACATTGTCTACCCAACTGTCTACCTGAAATAATTATCTAGTGCTTGGAGTTTGTACCCATTTACCTAGAACTTACAGTGGAATTTAATGAAACTGTCTTGGAACACACTTGCCATCAATTATTTTACTCAAAATAATTATCTAGTACTTTGGAGTTTGTACCTCACACTTAACCAGTATGTACCTAGAACATAAGAAACTGTGAAAGAAAGCAAATGTTTATGAGTCAGAGTTGACCTGGTGACACTTAATCATAGAACAATGTTTTGCTGATGAGTCTGTTTGAATGCACTGAAAAGGTGGAATAGATCTGCTGTTGCGTTATGGTTTAGTGCGTTATGTTCTAGATCTTAAACTGATACAGACTAGTTTACGGTAACGACTTTGAGACGAGTTCACTGAGAGACTGATGAACTGCTGCATGTTGTTTATCCTCAGGTAAACGAGGAACACACACTGTGGAGGGACCGTGCATAACGGTACGATAGGAAGATCTACACATGACAAAAAGTCGTCAAAGTCAGTGTTACTTGTTTGTGTTACTTACCTGGTACATTGTTTGTTTACAGGAAGTGCAATATGCAAGTGTGGACCTGATCAGGATCGGACAGGGCAGCAGTACTGCTCTAAGCCGGACTAGTTAAAGTTTTGTTTGTTTGTTTTTCAGTTGTTTATTTAAGGCTCTTGAGTGAGTGAGTGAGTGAGTGAGTGGACAAGCATGTGACATTAAAAAAACACATATTGATTGTGTACTAAAACACCAAATAAAATCATCGATTAATCTCATATTTACACTTTTTTGTTTTTTCTGAAGGTCATTTAGGACCATCCTGTAAGTACAGACTATACACAACTGAGCAAAATGAAATACCACCTAGCTTAATAATAACATTAGGGAAAACACAAGGACTGAAGCAGATAGGTAGCAAAGAGATAACATAAATGATAAAGTAGATTTAACCCCTGTGTGGTGTTCAGGTCTGTGGGACCCATTTTCAATGTTTACCAAAAGAAAGAATTATGTGATTTATTGTTATTTCAACCTCAGATTCTTGTCCTTTGCTCATTTTCTGTGAAGAACATATAAAATAACCCATTTTCAGTGTCTTCACTCTGTTCACCCCCCACACATTTATATTAAACATGTGGTGTTGGGTGAACCAGCGGGGAGTAAAAGTGTGGAGGTGCTGTGTCCTTCACTCTGTTCTCCTCCTACATGGCCTGCTGTTAGTGTGTGTGTGTCTATGTGTGTATGTGTTTGTATATGTGTGTGTGTGTGTGTGAGGGTGGACAACATAGACAGGCTGCTGACTGGCTACAGCTGCTAAAGGAGAACCCTACGCTGGACACTTGTGATATTTTAAACATCTGGTATTTTTACATGAATTTTTATGGCTGTATTGATTTAAACAAACAATAATGTGGAGGGTCCAGCAGACCACTGAGTAACAAACACATCAACACCACACAAGGGTTAAATACAGTCTAAGTGAAACTCAAAGTAGACTAATCCAAACAAAACAGATTGAAATATCAGGTTTATTCAGACATAGTAAATCCAGAATCGGTATGCTTTTTACAAAACATGTCAAGTGATATTCTTTACTAAATAAAATCAGTCTAAATCAGAGAACTGTGTTCTTATTAGGGGCTCTGAATGCAGATATTGTACTGAAAGTGGTGATGTAGTATGTCTTGACCATCTAGTGGTGCTTTTGTCTGTCACATATGCTGTTGGTGTCTCAGTCTGCTGCACATGAACACTGTGCACACACTGCTTCCTGAAGGCCGACCCATTTCCCAGCACACGCACCAGTCTGTCTGAACCCCAAGGCCAAAAAAAATTCCTTGTTTTAAAACAAATTTGATATTTTAAATCTAACTAGTGGTGTATCAGCTGAAGTACAATTGCTTTAAGATGCAATCTAGTCTGCATATTCAGACTGGCAAATATTACAGTACTGAATGTGAAGGAATAAGAGGGTCCCATGCAGTGCAGTACTGAACAAATACCATACAAACACTGCTATCACAAAGAGTGGAATGACATGTTTAGTATATCAGAATATCAGAAGGGTTTGTTACTGGGAACATGGTCTAATTATAATTTTCCATAAATGAAACGTCTCACAACTTCAGTCATTATGTTGCTGTTCGGATGGACTTTCTTTAGTCTATTTGTAGCAGCTCTGTTTCCTTTTTTAACTTCATGTTGTTATATTTACTATTCTAGGGCTGTATTACAAACTTTTTATTACTGTCTTTTTGTCTTAACTTAAGAACTGACATGTCAAGATAAGATATTTCACAAATTTCTATTACAGAAGTGAATCTGATCTTAATTTAGGAATCTTATCTTATAGCATCTTATCCCAAGTTAGGAAATCTTAACTTACTTGATCGAAGTCGACAATCAACTGGCATGTCTGTTACTTAGCAACCGACCATACGCGCACAGCTGAAACATAAACACATAATCAAAGTAATCAAGCTAGTTAGCCAGACAGCTAACATTAGCTACCTCTACTGACATATAGAAGCTTAAATCAATAAGCAATAAACTGAGAGTTAACAATATTGTGTCAGCATCCCCTGCTGGTTATCAGAGCATCGCCGCTCCAGTTTCAGTCTCCATTTCCCAGGCGCTTTAGCCAAGCGCGCTAACATTATTCCTCCTAATAAACAGACACACGTTCAGCTCCGTCTCATTATTCACCACCATCACTGTAATATTTCATCATCAACATTAACACACGAAGATAATCAGAGGGAGCGTGGAGATCAAGTCTGCAGCGTCTGGAGTTTTAAAATGATGTTAGAAAAAAAACAAGTCACAACAGTTTTAGTGTGGATAAATGTAGCGTCACTATGCTGGTTATAGTGAACTACTGTCACTGCACAGAACGATAAAAACAGACAGTTACACAGAAGTTAAGACTCTTCTGGGGTTTATCCTAAAGTTAGGACAGTATTTAGGAGGTTTAGTCTAGTTAGGATGTTTCTGTAATACTGTTTTCTTATCTGGAGTTAATGATAAGATTATGAACTTAAGAGCTGCTGTTCTGTAAGAGATTCTGTCCTAAATTCGGTCCTAACTGAAGTTGTCATGGTGACTAAGCAGATAAGATTTCAGACTTAAGAAGTTTCTGTAATACATAAAGCATGTAAATATAGTCTTTGTTTTCCCGGTACAGATGTAAAAATACCAGTTTTGCATGCCTTTGCTCAAGCTAGACCAGCATGTGTGAGAAACTCTGTGGATTTCTGTAAAGGGTCGAAAAAACCACACCGTGAGGCAGGTAGCGAGGCGTGGGCGTCAAGTGGCCCCTCTACGCTCACACTGCGCTGCTGTGCTTTCCTGCGTCCCATGTGGTTAGAACAAAGCAAGCTGCAGAATGCAGAATCAAAGCAGGATGTCAGAGATGGTCTGCTTAACGGACAACTGCGCACACCTGGCCTGAATTTACACAACTACACTGATGTTATCAGGCATCAGATACAACACTCAGATAAAGACTCGCATTGGACTGTGAGATATGATTTAGTAGTTTGACCCTTTGAACTTTAAGGGTCTGTATATGAGTCCACACTCTAATTACGTTATGCAGTTATGTAACCTAAATGCAAAACATGCGTGCAGTTGCATGCAAAAGTATGGGTACCCCTGGCCCAGTTACATCGTCGCAGTCCAAAGAAAAACATGTATCTCCATTTTTAGTTTTCTGCGTCATTCAAGCGCAGCGGCTGCCCTTTACACTGTGTGAAAATTTCATGATGAATGGATAAACAGCAAAGCTCTAAAATGACTTGGAATAAAATCTCTTCACATTCACTTACATTAAAAGTAAAGAACGTTTTTGGCCTCTCCTGTAAAGTTACTATTCTTTATTGAGACACTTGTTTTTCTTTGGACAGCGACGATATGTTTGTTGACTTTTTTAAAGTGAAAAGAAATAAACACTTTATATTTGATGAGTAAAATAGTAATTGTGGCAAAAATTAATCAGATATAATCAAATAGAACATTTAGTCCTGGGCCAGCACTTTGTATGCACCTTGTATATTGTTCAGTCTGTTATTTCAGATTATTCATAAGCAAATTAAATGAATTAAAATGAACACAAACATTAAATCAACCCCCACTGTCAGTCTTGGATGCTGGTGTCACTGTATGAGGCCAAATATGGAGAAAAAGAAATGTCGAAAGTTGGACATGTGTTTATTTAGCGTCACTAGCTATTGATTAGTGGAATTTAACATGGAAATAAAAGATTACATTTGGGATTAAAAAGTCATCAAAATGCACAATTTAAAGAGTGAATTTTGGATTTGATTGATGCAGGTAAAACGTAATTACTACATTTGTGTTTTTTTAAGCTCATCATACTTTTATTAAAGTACTGTTTAAATAAAAAAAAATCAAAATAAATATTATATATTATTATATTGTTATATATTATTGGGTGTGCGATAATTCAGTATATCTTAATCACTTAAAATTGGGTGTTTTAATTTACACTGTAAATCCTGACATTTACTCAAAATATTAAGCTGTCTGAAATATGGAGTTACATACACCCAAACGTCTAAGTTTAACAAACAGAGTATAAATGGCCACAGCCAAGCTGTACTGTTGCAGACACTGGAGCTTTTTAGTTTAAGTAACATTGCCATAATCATAATGATTACAAGCTGAAATGCAAAAGAAAAAGAGCTTTCAAAGTCACACTCTGACAACAGTTTTGAGTAAAACTACTGAACTGGCGTTAAATTATGTTGTTTTGTTACAACCAAACTGACCATGTGAAGTGAATCCAAACTGGCATTTAACCCAAACATGTGAACGTGCAGTTTGTGTGAAAACAACATCTGAAGGAGAAATAAGATCTAATAAACAGAATCAACTAACCCACTAGGAATTCTGGGTAACTCCGCCCGTACTCTCTCATTGCTCGTCTTTTTGAGTTTCTTATACTCACTAAAATAAGTGCAGTTGAATTTTCACCCAGACAGTACAAACTTGCCTGGATTAAGTGATAAATGTAAGAAAATAAGTTATTAATTTGATTATTTAAATAAAAATAAGATCACGGCTTTTGGTGATTACTGCACACTGCAGTCTCCAAAACTTGGTAAGAATGTAGAATTTTGTTTGTTAATGTTTCCAGATATTCAACAAGAACACACTTAAAAAAAGATGGTTCTTCAAGGGTTCTTTAGTAAAGATAATGATTCTATAGAACCAAGAACACTCAAAGAACCATTTTCATGATTAAATGGTTGTTTGCGTGGTGAAATGGTTCTTTAGACTGGTGGAGAATGTGCTGCATAGAACCTTTTTGAGCATGGTTCTATATAGCACCAAAAAGTGTTCTTCTAATATTACAAGCTTGACATGATAACAATAGTAGAACCCTTTTAAAAAAGGTTCTATATAAAATCTGCATCAATCTAAAGAACTCTTCCACGATGCATAGAGCCCTTTAAACATGCAAAGGGTTCTTTGGGTGTTTATGGTTCTATATAGAACCACTTTCTTTACTAAAGAACCCGTAAAGAACCATCTTTTTTTAAAAGTCATAGTTAAGATGACATTTCTTTCTCAGTTTTTCTCAGTTCTGCTGTTTGTTGCAGCCACTGATAATATAAAAGTGTAGAAGGTTGTTAGTAAAAACCCAAACTGCTGCACAGTTTGTAGGATTTACTTTGCTGAATGTGTTTTAGAGCCAAACCGTTTGTCCTGTTCAGAGGTGATAATCAGTGCTGTACCCTTTTTCAGATCCAGGGCTGTTTTAGCCATTTTAACACACTGGCCCCGTCCTGATTGTGTTTTTCTGCCGACCGACGTTGGACTGACTCTTCGTTTCTGTTTATCGGCCCTCAGCGATGGAAATTCTTCAGCAGACTCTTCAGTCGTGGGTCGGCCTCCTGCAGAAACAGTGATGCTGCAGTTCTAGATGGTTGAGATAAGACAGACTCGCACCTCCGACTCTCTGACACGCTCAGCATGGGACCCTGGCTGCTGCTCCTCTGTTGTGCTTGTACTTTGAAAAGTAAGTCTTTAGTCTTTTTGCCTACATTTTCTCACCAAATACTCTAAACCATGAGTTCATAATTTCTTCATGAAGCTGCTAAGAAAAAATATGATGAAACACGTTGTGAATAATTATGCGATAGCTGCAATAAGAATAGCTCTTTTTAAAGGGAAATTGTCCTTTAGGTTATAGGTCTTCTTCATTTTTCCCCAGTCCTTGTATGTGAAGATTAGTTATAGTAACATTTTACTTCACCATCAAAATAATAATAATAATAATTTTCAAACAAAATTGCAATTTGTATATGATGTATATATATTGCTTTTAAGTATACAAATGTAGTAACAGTGCGTCCAGTTGCAGGTATAACTCACTGTGCTTGTAAAAGGCTATGAGCATTATTTCATATTAGCATTATATAATTATTCTTGTCTTTTGGCTCATAGTTTCAAGTCCAGACTTACTAGAAATAAAAGTACTGTAATTGTACTATAAGCACTAATGCACTCGGACTTTGAAAAGTAAGTCTTCAGTCTTTTTTCCTGCATTTTCTCACCAAATACTCTAAACGCGTTTTCTCATATTTTAATTAAGCTGCTAAGAACAAACATGACATAAAAATGATGAATATTTATGCAATAATATCTGCATTAAGAGTATCTTTTTACTTTTTTGAAGAGAATTTAGTCTTTTTCTCTTTTAGGTTATACTGTAGGTCTTCTTCATTTTTGCTCCAGTCATTGTATGTAAAGATAGTTATAGTAACATTTTAATTCAACATCAAAATAACAATAATCATTTCCAAACAACATTGCAACAGTGTAATAATGTAGTAACAGTTATAATTCATTGTGCTCTGTGTTTGTAAAAGGCTATAAGCATTATTTCATATTAGCACCATATAGTTATTCTTTTGGCTCATGGTTTCCAGTCCAGGTTTCCTAGAAATAAAAACTTCTGTAATTATACTACAAACACAGATGCAAACCAGAAATACAATTGTTTTTATTTGTAATAGACTATTGAAATGAGTGCTTTCTTTTCTCTAGGTATTTTATTGGAACTGTAATGTTTAACTGTGTTTTTATGCAACTGTTTTTATATCTATTTTTAACTGCCTCAATGTATTTCCGATATGATCAACATTACCAAAGTGTGTAGATGTGAGTGGTGGCTTAAATGTTCACTGCTGCCTTCATGTTTTCTTTTCTTTTATTGTTTTGTTTTTTATTATAACTATTCTGCTGGTTTTGCACCAACTTATTTTAGTGTTTGCCAGGAGGCAAGACTGAGCAAATCATCGTCAATGTAGGAATCAGGAATACATTTCAAATTTCACATATTTAGAACAAACACCTGCTTGCAGTACAGTCCTTTGTCCCAAGCTGATATAATAGAGAACTTACTTTTCTGTACTCTTTCTAGCAGCCTTAATAAAAAATAACTACAATTTTTTGCAGCATCTCTCTCGTCTGTGCTGACTCAGACTCCTGGGACTGTGCGGGTCTCTGTTGGAGAACCGTTTACATTGCAGTGCATACACGAGATGCAGGTTCAGTATTGCTATTCAACAACAACCTGGCATAAAGTCAATAAAAGAACTGGACAACTGGCAGAGATCAGACCTGAACTCGACATGCAACAAACTAATACTAAAGTTTGTACTCTGACCATCTCTAAAGCCACCCTGCAGGACTCGGGCATGTACCACTGCACGGGTTTATACAATAAAATAGTTCTGGTTGGAAATGGCACCAGAGTCATCGTCACCGGTGAGTTGAACAAATCTGTTGTATATAATCATCAATTTACATTTTACATAAGGGGTGTATGTGGCATTTTTATCTGGACAAACACATTTTATTCACAGTTTTTAGTGTCAAAATGTGTATTAATATTTTCATTGTATTCACCAAACGTTTAAATATATTTAAGCATAAAATTATTATTCCCTTAATAGCTTGATAGCAGGTCTTCCAGCCATACTTGCTTCATGCTTGACAAGACAATGCAGGTTTATTAATATTGTGCATCTCAGAGGCGTAAAATGTGAAGTAATTCCGTGTAGAACCAGTATGGGTTCTGTACTGTATCTGGTGTCACCATAAGCTGGAAACAGTAGCAGAGCTGTTGGAGAACACTGTGTTGCTGCATTTACAATATATTAGAGTTTCTAAAAGCACTTTTCCTGATGTGTTCTGTGCCCAGTGGAAGCGTACTCTCTTAAAAAAGATGGCTCTTCAAGGGTTCTTTAGTTACGGTAAAACTCATAGTTCTGTATAGAACCATTCCATGCTTAAATTGTTCTTTGCATGGTGAAAACGTTCTTCAGATCGATGGAAAATGTGTTGTAAATGATTTGATATAGAAACGAACCAAAAGGGTTTTTCTGTTGTTAAAAGCCTGAAATTATAACAACAGCAGAACACTTTTTAAAAGGTTCTATGCAGAACCATATACAACACATTCTCTATCAATCTGAAGAACCATTTCACTATGCAGGGAACCATTTAAGCATGGAATGGTTCTGTATAGAACTCATAGTTCTAAATAGAACCATTCCCTTTACTAAAGAACCTTTCAAAAGGCGTCTTTTTTAAGAACGGATTTTAAAGTTCTGCTCCTAGTTTTTAAAGCTCTAAATGACCTCAAAGCACAGCTTACATCACAGAGTGTCTGTTTGTGATCTTAGATCTGCAGATACTGACCTTCTGAACACCTTCTGTAAAATACAGAAAATGTGGAGAGACTCATTCAGTTATTCTGCTTCTAAACTGTGGAGCTCAGTTCACCTTTTATTAGACAGTCAAGCTCAGTGCTCACTTTTAAGAAGCGTCTAAAAACGTCTCTCTTTAAGTCAGCGTCTCATTAAAACTCTACATCTCAAGGTTTTTATCTTTTAATTTGATTTATTTCGTTTTCTTATGATTCTAAATGAATACTTATAATTTCTTGTGTTACTGTTAAGCTTTATCATCTGTCTGTAAAGCACTTTGAGCTGCCACCGGCATGAAAAGTGCAATATTAATAAAATTATTATTATTATTATTATTATTAATAAGAGTGTAGAGATGCCTTCATTTGGCATCATATCTTGGAAGCATGCATTTCACAAAGAAGTTGATTTGTTGATTTTAATTTTTCTACATCGCTGCCCATTACATTGTGACAATTCCGTGCTGAGGGACCAATAGAAATGCTCCAAAATGTTTACATTAACTTACATTAAAAGTAAAGAATGTGTTTTGTGTTCTCCTGTAGTTACTATTTTGCCGATACATATTTTGCTTTGGACAGCGACTGTATATATTGCTCCTTATTATTGCCAGTGCTAGTGAACATCATGAGTATTTTCATGGTTTATTTATCGCTGTAGTCAGAACAAAATCTCCAAAATGGTAACTTTACAGGAGAAGGAAAAAACCTACTCTACTTTTAATGTAAGTCAATGGAACCAGACTTTTTTCTAAGTCATTTTGGGCCGTTTCTTTTGGTCCATTCATCACGAAATTTACACACAATGTAAAGAACAACAGGCATTTTCAAATTATGATAAAAACTGAAAAACGAAAATGGAGATACGAGGTTTTGTTCTGACAGCAGCGATATACTAAATTATTGAAGTGCCACACTGGAAAAAGTGGCTCATCAGATCAGTCTAAAAAAATACTTCATGTGGTAACAAACAACTGAACTGGTTTCATTCAACTCAAAAATGACATTAATTGAGAGAATCGCTCATTCAAAGTATTTATTTAGGTTGATTAAAACTATGTAATTGACTTTTTACCACATGAAGTCATTTTTTAAAGTTGATGGGTTAACGAGCCTTTTTACAGTGTGTGGTTGGTCCAGCAGAGCACTAACACTGTCGTCTGTTGCAGATCCTGATCCACCAAGTCCGTCCATCATCATGTATTCTCCTCTGGACGTGTTCGGCCCCACCGTTCCCCTGCAGTGTTTGGTGATAGGAGCTGTTCCCTCTCAGGTCCAGGTCGTCTGGATCATTGACCACAGTGAGCGCTCAGGATGGACG